TATTTGTTAAATTTCTTCTTTTAAATTGTAAAATCAGCTAGAATAAATTATATTGATAGAATTTTTTGAACAATCATAATTCTTGTAGTGAATAGAATATATATTTTTTTCTATTATTCAAGGAGATGTTCAATTCCTATTTTTTGAGATTGTAATATATTGTAAAAATGAAAATATTAATGAGATCAGGGATAGAGCGTTTTTAGTAAACCTGAATTCTAATATGATTTAGAGAATTATTTTGATTTTATAAATTAAAATTGGAATCGAAATGAATTCTCTTCTAGTAAGTATGACTAAAAATTCTTATTTCTCCAATAAAGCTTTGTAGGGTCAATCTTTGATAAATATATTTTAGATTCTGATTTTCTGAATAATAGGGTTTTTAATCAGCAATTAGTAATATTAGTTTGAATGGCTAGAGTATGTTTGATAACTAAAAGTAGATTTGATTAGTCATAAAAATGTTAGAATTATGAAAAGTATGATTGCACACTTGTCTAAAAATAAAACTGGAATAAGGGATGATCGTTATAGAATATTGTAGAGTTCATTATAATTAATTCAAAATATAAATCAAAATAAATAAAGATTATAAAGAAATATTCTATAAGAATAATTCATTGAGGATAGAGTTGTATGTTAAGAGAACTATTTTTTAATGTGAAAAGAAGATGTGGATAATATTATTGTATTTGAATGAAGATAAATTATTAATAATTATTTCTTAAGGAAGAAGAGATATTTTGAATAATAAAAAATGATTTTTAATTAATTAATTATATGTCACAAAGGGAAGAGGTATGTTACATATTAAAATAATAAGACACCATATTTCCAAGAATGTTAGAAATTAGGTGGTATTTAATAAAAGGATATTTATTTGTCTCCAACAAAAGCAGCAACATATTTGTATTTACTTAATCACGTAAGAAATGCGAAGTATTTGAAAGTGTGATAAAAATGTTGCCATGAAATTTGCAAAAAGACGGATATGCAAATGGGATACAACAATTGAATAGGATGGTCCAGCTACTTGTAGAATTCTTGTTCCAGTTTAAAAGAAAGAAGTAATAAATAAAATAATAATTTAGAAATGTATTAATGGTTGGCAGAATGTTGGATATGAAGTATTTTATTAGAACAGAGATACAATAGCAGATTAAAAATAATTAAATTTGGACTATGAAAATGATAAGATTTAATAACAATTAGAGAATAACGAGTAGATGCTTACAAATGATTTTAAGTAATAGATGAAGAATTTAGCAAAGTTCTATTAAGAACTTAATAAAAAATATAGATTAAATGTTCATGATCCTGATTTTAAAGAGAGGGTTTAAATAGCTAAAGAATAGTTATAAAGATAAAGGAATAAACCATTATAATATTTTAAAAAAGATGGTGTGAAGTTTGTAGAATTATTACATGAACTTAATTAAGCAGATAAACGTTAACACACTGTATTAGATAGATTCAAAGCATTTAATTAATTAAAAGCATCATAATTTAAAATCAAAGAGAAACTACCTGAAAAACTATATAACAAAACAACTAATGATGAAGATTCAACTCCTATGAATAGAAATAAATTAATGAAGAAATCTCACAAGTTCTTAGGATAAACTTGTAGAAATGTAACAGACGCATTTAAAATGAAATTCTAAATAAAAGATAAATCTTTTCGTCTGTCGAAATAATTTGATAACTATAATCCAAGTATTATAAAAATATAATCCTAATCTTCAATCTCATTTCATAAAAAGAATAAAACTGATAATGAAGAATATCTTGAAATATAACTCGAAAAATTCGCTAATAAAATGATATCACCTTAAACTAATGTTTAAGAAATTAATACTGATAATATTAACAAATTAATTGAAGTATATATTTGAATATTAATTAAAAGAATAAATCAAATTTGAAGTAATTATGTTTAAAAAAAATAAAATAAAAAGTTTTAATAACCTAATCCGAACACCGAAGTAAAACAGAAAAACAAGACTCAGATTGTAATGCTTTGTTTTCATCAAGATCAAGAGATAAAGATTCTACAAAAGCTTCAATTATTTTTAAAAGATCTTAATTGCTTACATCTTTTACAAATAAATCAGATTGTATTAAATGATATTTATTTATAAAAAAGAATTCAAAAATAAATATTTTTTGAAATTAATTCATAAATAAATTTTATTATTATTAATAATAATGTACAATTCAAGATCCTAAGTCTCATGTATAATATAAAATTGATAATTCTAAGATCCCTAAGCATCACCATCAAGTGGAAGAATTTAAAAGATCTCAGAGAAATTATCCACAATTTAAATTGGAGTAGAAAATGAGAGATTTTAAAAACTTGAATAAGCTGAATAGAGAATTCAATAAGCAGAAGATGCTTTTAATGAATTTTAAGAATAGATCTTTACAAAATTGAATGGATTAAGAGATTAGGTAATATGATTAGTAATGTAATGTAGTTGGGAAAATTATAAAAATAAGTAGAAGAAGATAAATTAGCAAAGGAATAAGCTAATGAGACTAAAAACAGAGAAGTTTAAGCATTAGAGAAGAAATTTGAGAATGCCATTCAAAATGAAACCTAAACAAGAAAAGAAGGAGAAGCTAAAGTATTAAGATTGTTAGAAGATAAAACAGCATTATTGAGAACTGAAGTATAAAAGGAAACAGCAGGAAGAGTAGATGCAATAGAAGGAATTCATTAAGGATTATAAAATGATTTACCAAAAATATAAGAAGCCATAAGAAATGAGGCTAATGAAAGAGATGAATCTGATTAGAATGTTAAAATAAATTGTAATATTTAGGTTATGAAATCTATTACTGACGAGTTAGTAAAGTTAAGTAATCTTATCAACGTTGAAAAGAGAAATAGAGATGAAAGTGAATAATCAATATTTGAAATGCTTAAAGATATTGTTAATAGAGTCAAAGTTGAATTGGATTAAGAAAAAAAAACAAGGTAAATTCTATTTAACTATCAATAGAGAACAATCTGAAGAGCATTTGTTAAGTTTATTAGAAGATACTTGTAATAAACTCAGTATTGCCGCAAATCTATGATATTGAAATAAATACATAATATAAAAATATATATATAAAATTCAATAATATCATTAATTTTATAAATACTTTTGACTAATATTCAAAAGGTATTTCTTAAGAAATCATCCTAAAAATCAGTTCTAAGGGAATTTTATGGTTAAAGTTCAATTATAATTAACAAACAAAATACAATTCCAATTGTTAAAATCTAAAAAATAATTAAATCTCAAAAAATAGACATATACTAATTTTAAGTTAAAATCTATCTTATTTATCATCGAAATCTATTTCTTATGAACATTAGAGAATATTTATTATTCTTATAATTTATTTTATGTTTTAACTGTTTTAACAATATAATTATACTCTTTTAACCCTTTTCTCTACTTTATTCATTAAATAGATTGGTGCATATTGATAAATCCTCTCTAAATTAAATTACTTCGGTGTTAAGAAATAAAAACAAAGAATTTAACAAATAAATAAATTGAGTTAGACAACTAAAGAGAATCTCATTATTAACAAATTATACTTTATATAAATTAAGATATTTTTGTGATGAATCTCTGATCCAAAATTTAAAAGAAAGCATTTAGAAAGTTTTGAACCTATCTATTTGGTATTAATAAAAATTATAATTTACATTTTTCATCTTAAATTAATCAATATTATCGAGTAGCTTAGTTTGGAAAAAGCATTGGCCTTATAAACCAAAGACCATGGGTTCAAATCCCATCTCGATAAATTTTTTATAAATTCAAATTTTAATTTTATATAATAATCACATTTAAATATTCTATCAGTTCTCATCAAATTGTTATTTTTTAATTTTATTCCTCTTTTTAATTGATATTAACAATATAAATAATAAATTAACAAATATCAACCCTAATTTAAAACACAAGCTAAAATATATATGGTTTTAAATTTCTATAATCATTTCAATTTAATTTAACTNGTAATCTTATCAACGTTGAAAAGAGAAATAGAGATGAAAGTGAATAATCAATATTTGAAATGCTTAAAGATATTGTTAATAGAGTCAAAGTTGAATTGGATTAAGAAAAAAAAACAAGGTAAATTCTATTTAACTATCAATAGAGAACAATCTGAAGAGCATTTGTTAAGTTTATTAGAAGATACTTGTAATAAACTCAGTATTGCCGCAAATCTATGATATTGAAATAAATACATAATATAAAAATATATATATAAAATTCAATAATATCATTAATTTTATAAATACTTTTGACTAATATTCAAAAGGTATTTCTTAAGAAATCATCCTAAAAATCAGTTCTAAGGGAATTTTATGGTTAAAGTTCAATTATAATTAACAAACAAAATACAATTCCAATTGTTAAAATCTAAAAAATAATTAAATCTCAAAAAATAGACATATACTAATTTTAAGTTAAAATCTATCTTATTTATCATCGAAATCTATTTCTTATGAACATTAGAGAATATTTATTATTCTTATAATTTATTTTATGTTTTAACTGTTTTAACAATATAATTATACTCTTTTAACCCTTTTCTCTACTTTATTCATTAAATAGATTGGTGCATATTGATAAATCCTCTCTAAATTAAATTACTTCGGTGTTAAGAAATAAAAACAAAGAATTTAACAAATAAATAAATTGAGTTAGACAACTAAAGAGAATCTCATTATTAACAAATTATACTTTATATAAATTAAGATATTTTTGTGATGAATCTCTGATCCAAAATTTAAAAGAAAGCATTTAGAAAGTTTTGAACCTATCTATTTGGTATTAATAAAAATTATAATTTACATTTTTCATCTTAAATTAATCAATATTATCGAGTAGCTTAGTTTGGAAAAAGCATTGGCCTTATAAACCAAAGACCATGGGTTCAAATCCCATCTCGATAAATTTTTTATAAATTCAAATTTTAATTTTATATAATAATCACATTTAAATATTCTATCAGTTCTCATCAAATTGTTATTTTTTAATTTTATTCCTCTTTTTAATTGATATTAACAATATAAATAATAAATTAACAAATATCAACCCTAATTTAAAACACAAGCTAAAATATATATGGTTTTAAATTTCTATAATCATTTCAATTTAATTTAACTAATTAGAAAGATTTATTATATAGTTTTCTCCTTCTTTATTAGGGAATTCTAATTAGTACTGACTAATTTAATAAATTGATTCAGTCATATGTTAGAACTTTTCAAGTATTTTAAAAGATTAATTATTATGATACATAATATCTTAAATATTACCTTCAATATATGAAATAGAATCAAAAATTTCAAATTTTTAATTTTCATGGAGATCATATAACTGTAGTATCGATCCATCTTTTTCGATTTTATATTTTAATAAAATAATAAGAAATTAATTTATGAATAGTAAATTGATCAGCTCAGTATCTTTTTGATATCTAATTATTCCCTAATTTAAAATACTAACTGTTTAATTTAGTGATATATCAACTACTAATTTAATTAATTATGCATGAAGAATTGACTTGAAGTAAAATTCAGTCATAATCAAGTAATTATCTTCATAAAAATGAATATATTTCAATGATTTTCTATTTGATATTTCAGATAAAATGTTAAGATGTTTTTCATTTTCAAGAACAAAATAAATAGTGTTCATTTGATTATTTTCTACTATTTCTATTATCATATATTATTGTGATGTAGACTTTTTATCATAAGCTATATAAGACAAAGGCTTATTATCAATCTTTTCGATAGTGCATTCAATGAATTCATGGTTTATTTAATTTATATATCTAGTTTGATAAAAACTCACATCATACAAAAAGATTAAATTTTCGCAAAATATAAATAAAATATCTTCTATTTAAATTAAGGATATTACAATCATACATTAGAGTGTATCAACTTCAAATTTATTTTTTTATTGATCATTAGAATCAAAAACTAATATAATAATTGAATTTTTTTGAACATTTAAAATAAAAGAATGTTCGCCATTCTCTTCAATTAAAACATAATGATCATCTTTTTGATTTTTAATATTCATTTATTCATTCATTATCTTATCCTTATATAAGGCATATGTGAAAGAATATGGGAACTCCCCTATTATGGTTGATTAGCTTATTAATTTTAAAGCTGGAGTAATAATAACTGATGAAGATGTAATATTTTTAAGAGTACCAATTATTTGATTTCTTGGATCAAAAACAATTATATCTGAATTTTTTATCGTTAATTTTTTATTATTTTTTAGTTCTAATCCTTCAATAAAAGGAATTATAATTAATTATATTTAAAATCCATTTTTAACATATTATTTGATTTTAGATCTTAATTCAAAGGATATATTAATATATTTTATCTAAGGTTTATCATTTTAAATTTGTAGTGTGAGCTTGATTAGTTCAATTTTCTTTTAAAATAGTTTATTATTAAATTAATACAGAATAGTGTCTTATTTGAAAATTGTGAAACATTCACCACAATCTACTTATATAATATCTTTTAAAACAGAAATAAAAGTTTAAGAAAGCTCATATATTAATACAAATGTATGATTCGTAATTGTATCTATTGCAGAAATTGTAATAATAAAACCATTTTCATGTAAATAAATAGGCCATATATATTCAAATGATTTTGTTGGCTTAGGAAGTTCATACAATTTTACAAATTGAAAATTTTATAAATAATACTTACAAAGTTATATTTTAATTTAATCTTATTTTCCAGATTTATGAATTATCAAAAATTCGTCTGTTCTTTATTTGATTGCTAGAATATTATAAAAATCCAAAATATCAATAACTAATTTATAATAATAATATTTACCATGTTAAGATGAACGATATTTAAATAATATTTATGTTTCTGTACCAATTATATTGAACTCCTTTGCGATTTATTTATATAAAATGATATCTTAATTTATTAAACTATTAATTTCTAATTTTTTAAATTAATAATTTTTGTTTGAATAATTTATTTCACACCATTATTTATCCTCAAAATAAATAAAAAAGTATGTATTCATTGTTTAAATAAATTTAATTTCTTTCATGAATTAAACTTGCTATTTTCTCAATAGTAAATTATACTCAAACTAAAAGAGATAAATTCTGTATTTATCAATTCTCATCAGTATAAAATTATTACATTTAAAAATTTAACTTTTTTCAATCTTCTCGATTTAAATTAGTTTTTTTTCAGTTAATAAATTACAATTGATTTAGTACAAAAATAAATTATGATATTAAGCTAAGATATAAATATTTGGATCATAATCCGAATTAATAATCACCCACCACAATATTTTAGTGGAATTCAAAAATTAGCAAATTTGGGATGGGAAATCATCATATGTTAATAAGCTATTTTAATCACTTTTTGGGTTCAAAATTTCAAAAGGACCACCAAGTATGTAATTATTTAAATTAATCTCAAATACTAATTAATTTGAATATACTTCTTGAACGATTGTTGGAATAGTGACTTAATAAAAAATACTTTTTGAAATATTAATAAATTAAATTAATTAATTTTCAATTTTTTTCTTACTCATTGTAAATTTGGAATTGTAATAATTTAAATATTAATCTTTATAAAATGTAGCATTGAAAGATTTATTTTCAATACATTTAAATAACGGATTCATTTAATTTACTCTTAATAAAATAATTTAATTATCTTTTACTCCAATAAAATAAGGATAGGCTGAATTAAAACTAAAGATTTTATCAAATTAAATAGTTAAATTAAATGATAAATCAGTATTTTTTACAAGTTCAATATGGGAATCGAATAAGAGAATCAAACCATTACTAAAATATAATACGCTTTTAGGTATTTCTTATCTAATAATGGCTTTAAATTTTATAGGATCATTCTCACCTTTTTATTTATCACTTAAAATGCAAACAAATATATCATAAAATAATATGGTTCTATTTTAATATGAAAAAGCTTTTTCTAAATAGTCTTAATATGGCTAATAATTATACACAAAATTATCAAAAGTAAATTATATTTATTATGTCATTTAAATTGAGGAAATTTGTCTCAATACTAGTTTAAAATCTTCAAATTTAAATGTTTTTTTAAGTTATAAAGTGCCAACAGTAAATATTTAAACTACCCAATCAGAACAATTCAATTATGCAAAATAAAAAGAATCAGAGTAAGTTTCATCAAAATAAAAACTACAATTTTATTATTTTTTGATCTTAAGAATATCAAGTACAATTTTATTGTTATGATCTATAATTTGAAGTAAGTATTATTTGGAATCAATTATATCTTCATATAGTAAGTAAAGATAAAATTCATAATAGTAAGCATTTAAAAAAAGACCCAGTTATTGGGTGGAGATTTCTTATGTTGTTGTGAAATTATAATTAGCAATTTTATCTTACATAATAGTAAAATAGAATAGAGTCACCCTAATAAGTATAAAACTAGTATTTTAGAAAACAAATATACATCTTTCTAAATATTTGGCTCTAGTGATTAATGTAAGATTATAATGTTATAATTAGTATAAAATAGGGCCAATAATTGTGAAAGGTTGAAATTGTTAAGTTAATTAAAAATGATCATGGTTGATAGTGATTTGATTATTAAGCATTATATGAGATTTAGAGATTAGGATAGTTTCATTAGATGTACAAATAGTAGTTGTAGATATTTCTAAAGGAAGTATAAATGTAAAAATGGAAATAAGAAACATAAATAAAATAATATTGGTTTAAAATAAATATTAATATGTATTTATTTAATTTTATATACTCAATAAGATTTTCTTATTAGATCAACAGCTTAATTGATTTACTCGTTCAAATAAGTTGGATCCTAAAGCATTTTTAATTAATCTTCCAACCCATAATTTTCAAAATCTAATAAGATTCCTGTAACTTGAGGTGCCTTAAATAATATTAATATTTAATTACTAATTTAGATTCAACACTTTGATTAACCAAAGGAAACAAGATAGTTCCAATAGTATCAGTAACTTTTCTATCATTTCCTTATGCTTTTAAATTTAATAAATATTATAAATCTGGTATTTTAGGTTATCTTGGTTGATTATGATATTAATTGGGGTATGGATTTCTTTTAGGTCTATGTTGATTATAATTACCTTATTATTATTAAGTATATGCACCTTATTATTAATATGGTGGTTATTAAGGAGGATAATTTGAATTATAATATGGTGGTTATTATGGATAAGTTCCATATGGAGGATTTTAATAGTTTTAATATGCTTAGAATGGTTATTATTAATATGGAAATGGTATTGGTTATGAATAAGGTTAATAAGATGGTTTGGATTAAATTTTTTTAAATTAAATAATCTCAGCTGGACTTAACATAGGTGAAATTTAAACGGTTAATTTATCATATAAATCAAATATTTTTTTAGTTTTGAATGCTAAATCAATAACTTTTTTTCCATCTTCTGCAGATTTTAAATAAATATATGCTGATAATTTAGAAGATTTATTAGGTGGTAATAATTATATATCATCTAAAGCAATAATTGATTCAAATGCTTCTCTAAGTTATTATTCAGTAACAGTTGGTTTAAGATTTTTAGTATATAAATTAGCTTCAATATTATCATTTGAATTAACAGCCCATTATATTGCTACAGTTTAATTCTAAAATAATTTAGTTGCTTTAACAGCCTTATATGCATCTTCAGAATTTTCAAATCTTACAAATGCAAAATATGTTTAATTCTTAGGATTTACATTAACTTAAATTGATTCAATTTTACCATATTCTGTAAAATATTAATCTAATTATGGTTTTAGTTAATCTAAAGAAGATTAAGATTTTATATTTGAAATAAATAATTGATCTCTTTTTATTTATTATTATTTTCCTTTCTTTATTGCTCTAATATAATTAATTATTATATTTACCTAGTAATATGCATTCCTATATTTTATTAATCTGCCAAACATTATTCTGCTGATTTCCTTTATTCAAATTATATATATGCTACTCCTGCCTTATCAGACATTTAAACTTTTATATTTAAGATTTTTCCATATTTGCTTAATTTCTCTTTCAATTGCAATTAAGTTGTAGTTGGATTTAATCCATCTATAAATATATTTGCTTCTTCATCCAATTTATCCATATCCAAGTATTCATTAACATCTAAATTCTTACCTCCTATTGTTACTGTCTTTGATGTTGCTCTTTTCACTATTATTATTAATCTTATTTATACCTGCTTCTTTACTATCATAAACTATGAATACTCCATTTGACTTAGCGTTTTATTATAATTATTCAATCTTTCCGAACTCAGAAAATGCTTATTTCAATTATTCTAAAGTTGTCTCAGACTTATACTATGTTACATACACACACCTATCATGAAGACTAGATTAAATCATAAATAATTATTTAATCAATAATAAACTATTTTTTTAATTATTAATTAATGGAAACTAAATGTAAAAGAAATGGTTGTAAGAAACCTTATAATGAAAATCAAAATAATGATTAAGCATGTAAACATCATCCTGGAAAACCAATCTTTTCTGATCTCAAAAAAGGATGGACATGTTGTAATAAAATTGTATATGACTGGGATGAATTTATGAAAATTGAACCATGTGCTCTAGGTAGACATACTAATGTTGAAGTTACTGAAGGTGGAGAGTTTTATTAATCAAAGACTGTTTAAAATGCATAAAAAGGTAATTATTTATTTTCTAGAATATTAGGAATTGATAACTTTGCCAATAATGCTCCCCAACCTGTAAGAAAAATAGATGATTATAATAAAGAAGAAGCTGAAAAGAAAAAACTTTAGGAATAATAATAAGGTTTTATTTTCTGATTATTTGGAATTTTAGCTAAAGTAGAAAAATAAATATTTGTTACTCCAACAGGAAAATATAAGTGTACAAATAAAGGATGTCTAAAAGAATATGATCCAAAAGAAAATAGTGAATGTTTTTATCATCCAGGAGAGCCTTGTTTTCATGATTTGAAAAAATTTTGGACTTGTTGCAAAGTAGTGTGTTTTAATTATATAAAAAGGTAGAAAAATATGATTGGGATGAATTTATGAAAATACCAACATGTGCTAAAGGTTCACACACACCAAAAGTAGTTTGAAAATGAATTATAAATTATCATCAATACATTTTTAAATTTTTTAATATTAAGACATAATTTGGCTGTTATTAAATTAATTCAAAAATGAGAACAAATCAAGGTTCAAGCAATGATCTTCTAAATAGATATTTTCAAGGTAGAAGAGATATTGATCAATTAATAAATACTTCTCCTAATGGATTGAGAGATCTTACTGTTTAAAATAATACAGGTTATGTATCAAGAGAAAAATATAACAAACTTAAAGATCTCAATTCTAAATTAAAAGTAGTGTTTTTTATTGAAGATAGGCTACTTTAAGAGAGTATATTTAAGATACAAAAGATAAAGAAAGATAATTATAAATGAAAGAAGAACTACTAATTAAGAATGAAAAAGAAAGAATGGATTATTCAAATAAAGGCAATGTAGAACTTAAAACATAAATTAATGAATTAAAAATTAAATTGTAAAAGAAAAAGACTAAAATCAGGTTACTCAAAGATTCTTCTAAAACAATTGATTCTAGATTAGATGAATAAAAAGCATCTTTTTAAATTGAAGTAGACAGAGTCCAAAGAATGTATGATTCTTTACAAAATGAAATGTAACAATTCTAATCATAAATTAGAAAAGAATATTAAAGAAGACATATAATATTAAAAGATGAAAATACAATTTTAAAATAGGTATTACAATAAAAAGAAGATTAATGCAAATATTTTGAAATGGCAGCTCAAGATGATAGGTAAAATATGCAATTATTGGAATCTAAGATTAAAGAATTATAAGAAGAAAAGAAAATTTTATAAATAGGAATCGATAATTAAATTACTAAAATTGATGAAGCTGAAAATTTTATTAAATTAAATGATTAACGTCATCAACAAGAAATTAATAAAATTGAGTTAGAAAAATAATAGTTATAGAATGAATATCTTTCATAAATTAATATAAAAAAAGAAAAGAGTAAATCATCATTACTTTATATCCAATAATTAGAATAGTAACTAACACAATTTTAAAAAGAAGAATTATCTTTTAATAAAATTATCTAAGAATAAAAGCAAGATTACTTAAGGTTATAGTAACAACTAGAAGATTAAAAAGATAAGACTGATTAATCTTTGAAAGAAGTCAAAGAATTAAAATAAAAATTAGAATCTTAAAAATCTTTAGTTTAAACTTATGAGGATAAATTAGCTTAATATGATATTTAATATTAACGAGATTAAAATGAAAAATAATACATATTATTTGATATTGATTAATTTCATTCAGAAAATAAAAAATTATAGCATCTATTATATGAATCTGATAAAGATATAACTTACTTAAAATAATAACACGAAGATGTAATCAATTCAATTATCCTCTTAGGATTTACTTTAAATTGAAAAAAAAATTTAATCTTTTATTCATTAATTAAATGAATCAAAAGAAGAAATATAAGAATAGAAAAAAATTATATAAGAATTAAAAAAACAAGTAATCTAAAGTGATGAATAAGCAAATGCATATAAAAATAAATATTTTAAAGTTAAATAAACCCAAAAAACATTATAATCAGAATAAAAATATGTAATTTTTATTTTTATCATATTTTAGTTAGAAGAGAAAGTTAAATTGATGGAAAGTGAAAGAATTTTTGAAGAAAAGGAAGCATTAAAAACTAAAGATCACGTTATTTAGTAGAAATAAGTTTAGTAAAGTAAAATTAGAGTACTAGATGAAATTTAAAATATGATCAAGCAACATAAAAATATTACAAGCTGATTATTTAAAATTAAACTTCTTAATAATTTAATATAAATATTATTAAACTTCTAATTAATCTATTTCTAAATAATCAAAATTTAATCCGAAAA